ATTACTGAGTAGCCAATGCTCATCAGGTATGATACATTCATTCATTCAACAAATATTTACTGAAGATCAAAGTAAATAGGGCACTGCTCTAGGCGTTGGAGACACAATGACACAGTGTCATTGTGCCACACAATGGGCATAGTATGATTGTGTATGTTTGTATGTGTATGCAGACATGCACGCACACCAGTGTGTGTGTGTATTATATTCAACTAAACACCCTTGAATTACATATTATTGCTAGAGACACATTCTGATCTCTATACCAGCAGTTTCCAAACCTTTTCAGAGGAATCACTTTTTGTTTCCTAACAAAATTCTTAAACAGAAACACGATACCCAGAGAAAAGCAGAATCCTGCACACCCAGCATGCCCTGTTCCTGAGGTATCTCCAGGATACCTGAGGTCTGTGAAGCTCTGATGTAAAAACCACTGATTAGCAACAATACCCCGTCTTTACATGACTGTTAATAAATGTGTCATGTGTATTGAGAAAATCAATTAGGTCACTATAAAGCATCTAGGGGAGGTTTCACTCGAGGCCCAAGGCTCATTTCTCTCTCTTCCCATGCAGCTGTGTTAGTAGGAGCCTTAAGACTACTCCTCCCACATACTACTCCCCTAGGAGGGAGTACACATGTGAGAGACTGGGGTTTGGAGAAAAAGAAGCATATGGTTTGTAATTTAGGCCAACTCTTCGGTGACTCAGGGAAATCTTACCATCATAATGGCAAAATCTTAGGGGGTGGAAATTAAGGTGAAAGCCCAGAGAAAAAAAAGAGATTTAAGAGGCTACCCAACTTGGAAAGGCCTTAACTCACAAAATAAAACAAAACAAAACATGCTCACAGATCACAAAAGATCTCACCAGACTTCCTAGGATCAGAAACCAAAACCGGGTTTAAGGACAGAGTCCCGATAGATTTAGGACACATTAACAAACAAAATAAACAAAGAACCCCTGCTCTCTGAAGCTGACATTCTCAGAGGCAGGAGAGAGAAAGGAGATCAACATAATGAATAAGTCAATTATACGATATCTTAGAAGATGACACATGGGGGCGCCTGGGTGGCTCAGTCATTAAGCGCCTGCCTTCGGCTCAGGTCATGATCCCAGTGTCCTGGAATCGAGCCCTGCATCGGGCTCCCTGCTCAGCGGGGAGTCTGCTTCTCCCTCTCCCACTCCCCCTGCTTGTGTTCCCTCTCTCGCTGTGTCTCTCTCTGTCAAATAAATAAATAAAATCTTTAAAAAAAAAAAAGAAGATGACACATGATATGGGAAAAAGAAAATGTGAAGCTAAGAGAGACAGGAGTGTCACAAAAACAAAGGTAAAAGCGGAGAGAGAGGAGTGTGATCTGTGATCTGAACTAGAATAGTGAGGGTGGGCCTCACGGAGGGTCCATAAGGACATCTGAGGTCCTGCAGTTGTGGAACAACAAGGAGTCCAGCTGGGATGGAGCACCGTGAGTGAGACAGACCAGTGGCACATGACAGGAACAGAAGAGGCAAGAGGGGAGGACAGATCATGGAGAGGCTTACAGGCCTTTGTAAAGACTTTAGCTTTTACTCTGAGCCACCACAGGGCAGGGAGCAAATATGATTTATATTTTAAACAGATCATTCTGCTAAGTGAAGTCCAGAATGCAGCAGAGCACAAGCAGACACAGTGAGACCATGAGGCAGCTGCTGCAGTTACCTAGGCAAGAGATGGGAGCTGAACCAGGGTGGAAGCACCATGGGTGGTAACAAGTGGTCAAGTCCTTCTTCCTTCATTCAAGCACAGTGGGTTAAGTGGGTTCCACTCAACTTATCTCATATCCAAAATCTAAAATATACTAGTAGCAACAGACGCTTTAATGGATCTCTAATTCCTTTAGTAATGCCTCCATACTGCAGAGAGACTTCATACACAGGCATACCTTGTTTGATTGCACTTCTATTTATTGCACTTCACAGATATCAAACCAGCCACCATGTTCCCTTAAGCCTAATCTAGAGTAAGACCTTAATTCTCTTCAGTGCTGTGAAGACTGAGGTGAGGAAGCTGCAGAAGGAAAGTCAGAAGCTACACAGGTTGGTTCATGAGGTTTAAGAAAAGAAGCCGTCTCCATAACAGAAAAGTACAAGGTGAAGCAGCAAGTGCTGATGTCGAAGCTGCAGCAAGTTCTCCAGAAGGTAAGTAACAAAGGTGGCTACACTCAACAACAGATATTCAATGTAGACAAAACAGCCTTATGTTGGAAGATGCCATCTGGGACTTTTGCAGCTAGAGAAGAGAAATCAATGCCTGGTTTCAAAGCTCCAAAGAACAGGCTGACTCTTTCGTTAGGGGCTAATGAAGGTGGTGACTTTAAGTTGAAGGCAATGTTCATTTACCATTATGAAAATCCTAGGGCCCTGAAGAATGATGCTAAATCTACCATGCCTGTACTCTATAAAGGGAACAACAAAGCCTTGATGACAACACATCTGTTTACAACATAGTTTACTGAATATTTTAAGCCCACTGTTGAGACCTGCTGCTCAGGAAAAAAAAAAAAAAAAAAAGATTCCTTTCAAAATATTACTGATCACTAGCAATGCACCTGGTCACCCAAGAGCTCTGATGGAGACATACAACGAGATTAATGTTGTTTCCATGCCTGCTAACACAACATCCATTTGATGGCCCATGAATCAAGGAATAATTCTACTTTCAAGTTTTATTATTTAAGAAATATATTTTATAAGGCTATAGCTGCCATAGATAGTGATTCCTCTGATGGATCTGGGGAAGTAAATTAAAAACCTTCTGGAAAGGATTCACTACTCTAAATGCCATTAACAACATTCGTGATTCATGGAAAGAAGGCAAGATATCAACATTCACAAGAGTGTGGAAGAAGGTGATTCCAACCCTCATGGATGATGTTGAGGGATTGATTCAAGGCTTCAGTGGAGAAGGTGACTGTAGATGTGGTGTAAACAGCAAGAGAACTAGAATGAGATGTGCAGCATGAAAATGGGACTGAATTGTTACAATTTCATGATCAAACTTGAACGGATGACGAGTCGTCTCTTACGGATGACCAAAAAGAAACTGGTTTCCTGAGATGGAATCTACTCTTGGTAAAAACGCTGCAAAGATTGTTGAAATGACAACAAAGGATTTAGAGTATTACATAAAACCTGGTTTTGCAATTATGAAAAAAGTTCTCCTTTATGTAAAATGCTATCAAACAGCATTGCATGCTACAGAGAAACTAAACTGTTCATGAAATGAAGAGTCAATCAATGTGGCAAACCTCACTGTTGTTGTACTTTAAGTACTTGCCATAGCCACCCCAACCTTCAGCAAGCAGGACACTGTTCAGCCAGCAGCCACCAACACTGAGGCAAGACCTCTACCAGCAGAAAAATTACAACTTGCTGAAAGCTCAGAGGATGGTTAGCACTTTTCAGCAATAAAGTATTTTACAAATGCATACAAAGGTATGTACATTGTTTTTTTATTTTTTAAAGAATTTATTTATTTATTCACAAGAGACAGAGAGAGAGAGAGGCAGAGGCAGAGGGAGAAGCAGGCTCCCCGCCGAGCAAGGAGCCCGATGCGGGACTCGATCCCAGGACCCTGGGATCATGACCTGAGTCAAAGGCAGACGCTCAACCAACGGAGCCACCCAGGCGTCCCAAGTACATTGTTTTTTTAGACGTAATACCATCGCACACTTCATAGAATACAGTATAGAATAAACATAACTTTTATACACACCAGGAAACCAAAAAACCCATTTGACTCACTTTACTGTAATATTTGCCTTATTGTGGTGGTGTGTACAATGTATCTAAGGCATACCTGTAAGCAGATTAAGGTTTTCTGAGTTTTCCACCATTCTAGCAATTTCTCCCCCATGAAATTTATATTTGTTCATTCCTAGTACTACCGAAATTCCTATTACTTAAAAATCATACGGGGCAGGGAAATGGAGAGATAGATTTTTAAGTGTATGTATCTTTCATTTAAGTCAGTGATATTTTTTCCTTCTTTTTCTTCTTCCCAGTGTATTTTAACAGATGCCTCTTTTAAAAAGTGAAAACAAAAATGTAAGCAAACTATCAACCTTCTTGTACACTAATAAAAATACTGAGCATTGATGGGATAGCTTTCTATATATTCCCATTTCCAAATGTTACCACAGCCAGTCTAGTAAACTTTATGTCTTTATCCTCCTATGCAGTAGTCTGTCCCACCTTCCTCCTCCTTTCCTTTCATTATTCAAACTTGCAGAGGAAAATATATACAACATAAATGTTTGGTAAAAGAATAGAAACACAAAAACATTAGGAAAATGACATTTTGGTTGACTCTGTCACTCAAAAATAAAATAAAAATAATAAGAAGAATAAGCTTAATGGACTTCCTTTTTTTTTTTCTTTTTAAACTTTAGTAGCTTTCTAGTATTAGGGATCAAGTTGAGGTTTAGGTCATACATTTTTCCTGCCTTAAACAATTGCTGTCCATGAGACAGCTTGAGGATCTAAGGGCAGAAAAGTAGTAAAATATAAATCACAGAACTTTATCATGCAACTCTTAGAAGACTTCATAATTTATTTCAGGAAAAGCTTAAAAGTTCTGTGCCTTCTGAAGACTTTAGGAACTGTTCTCAGTAACTAAAATAACAACTTTGGGATCCATGTTTATTAGATAAACCTTTTATAATAATGTCACTAACAGCTGAAGCAATATTCCACAACTTTAAGCTCTCAGACATGCATGATCTTATTTATTCTAGTATAAGGTATCAAATTATCTGAAAACAGGCTGACCCTTAATGAATTGTAAGATAAAAATCATTTTTCAAAATCAAAAGTGGAAAAATTATTTACGAAAATATAAATATCCTCACAGAAAATGTTATTTTGATTTTTGTCATAAAATCATTTGCAATTAGTGAGTTAACAATGGTTAAGCAGGGCAGAAGAGCAGGTGAAGGATTCAGTTCACTGAAATAGTCTTACCTTCTGATGTTTTCCACCGTTTCCATAAATCCTCAACAGTTATATGCTTATCTTCTCTGTGCAGATGACTGTGTTTATTAGTAGCATCTTTATATTTCATATCTTCTCTGATAAACTATAAAAGAGAAAACATTAAGTAAATTAAATTCACAATTTTATAATCTCTGTACACTCAGAAACAAAATTTTGAAATCCAGTAGGTGGCAATTTTCAGATAACAACTGGTACATTTTTGGTATTTTATACTCACATTATACTTACAGTTTTGTAAAATATTTAATAAAATGTCTGCTACTACTAATCATAACAACAACAAAAGTCCTTACTTAATGCTCATTATTTACCAGGTACTATCCTACGTTATAGTATGTCTATTCACTCTCACACACACACACACACACACACACACATACACACTCATTTAACTTCATGATAATACTATATTATGTATCCCCATTTTATAGATGAGAAAACCAAGACCCAAAGAAGTAAAATAATTTGCCCAAGGTTGAAAAAATAACAAATAGCGGAGCTAAGTATATTATGCTCAACAGCATATTATTATATATATAAATTATATACATAGTGCATTTTTACCAAATACTTAGTGACAGGGGTGTTTCAAAACACAGTAAATACTAATCTCAATTACTGCCTCATATTTCTGTGTTCTCCTACATGTGAAGCTATTACTTATAGTTGAGAGGCATCTGACTGCAGTGTTCAGAACTAAAGCATTTTATAAAACTGAAGTAGATCTCTATTAATCTTACTTTAAAATATAGAGAGAAAATACACTAATATTTTCTTTGCTAAAAACTAACCTGCTCTGTATTCATTATAGAAAATCCTTCAGTTGCTCCCCACTGTCTCCCAAAAAAAAGGCATTTGCTTTTTATTCGGGAGAAGGAGAAGCAAACTCCTTTTATGGCTTACATATCATTTTCCAATCCTATCCCTGACAATCTTTTCAGCCTGATCTTTTGACACTTTTCCCATATAAACTCATTACTCTAATTATATAAAAGAAAGTTTTTTAATATTATTTTACTTGATATCTTTATTGATTTTTTCAAAAATATAAGATCATACAAAAGATTATTTCAGAAATCCATAATGCAGAAAGTGAATATTCCCTATAGCTCCCAAGGCATATTTTTCTGACTTTTATATACTGACAATGAACATCATTTTCAGACAAAGGCCAAATTTTGCTTTTGTGTCATTTTCTGCTAAAACTAAAAAAAGAAGTTTTTAACCTAATATTTAGTGTAATATTGAGAAATCATTTCACTTTCCTGAGATTTAATAACCTCGGCTACAAAATGAAGAAACATTTTAGGATCAACACTACTCAACATGTCATGAGACTGGCGTTGGTCAGGAAACTGATACCTGTCTACAATACATATAAAAACGGAGAGAAGCCATTTAGAAACCTTTATAGTAATTAGACATTTTCAAAGAATCTGACCCAAGCATGTGATAAATGTACTTACCATGCAGGCCCCATCTATAATGAATTGGAAATGAAAATTCTGGTCCTTCACCATAGATACTTTGAAAAGCAATTACCTAGGTCTATTCTAGTGCTTATTAATTTTGCTGTTCTAACTAGTGCCTCACTCTGTTCTTCTAAGTACCCTTTTTAAAAGTTATTTTTAGGGCACCTGGGTGGCTCAGTTGGTTAAGCGACTGCCTTCGGCTCAGGTCATGATCCTGGAGTCCCAGGATCGAGTCCCGCATCGGGCTCCCTGCTCGGCAGGGAGTCTGCTTCTCCCTCTGACCCTCCCCCCTCTCCTGCTCTCTCTCTCTCATTCTCTCTCTCAAATAAATAAATAAAATCTTTAAAAAAAAAAAAAGTTATTTTTAAAGGGATCTGCCTCATTGCTCCAACTCCTATTTCATATTTTTCTAATTTCCCATTTCTGCCAATTCCTCGTTGTTCTTCCTGATATCTTCAGAATGCAGTAGATATACCTGGAAAAATCATGTCACTGAGATGTTCAGAAATTGCCCCTAGCTTGGAAAAGGTTCAAGAGCTAGAGAGAAATTCTAGAATGAAAAGCATGATGACAAAAAAAGCAGGGAGGAAGCCTGCCTTGGAAATGGTCCAGTCAGTTGGAACAAATGGCAACTGTTTCATATATGTGATACATGAGGGGAAAAAAAAGTCCTAGGAAATTCTCTTCACCCCATGAACACAAAGAACCTAAAAGTAGAGTTCTGTGGCTTTAGGATCAATGTATTTCAGAAAATAGAGCTGATTTCCATATATAGGCTAGATGAGGCATTCTAGCTACTGAACTATTTTAGTAAGCCTAGGACGAGTATATAGATATCTGCCAAAATATGTGATGAACAAAATCAAAGAATTAAGATATCGGAAAAAGGCAATTAAAAAAAAAAAAAAAGCTCAGGAAGATTATCTATAGTTCACTTAATGTAAAAGAATTATCTGGCTCCCAAAAATGTTGGATCAAAACTGAGTAAATGCACAGAATTGTATTTTCCCTGAAATTATCATTTAAAAATTAATACATGCTTCTGTTTTAAAACATGACCCCAGGATAACACAATTCATAACAAACCACATTGAAGTGTATTCTGTATCTCCTACATCTTCAACATTTTGATCTAGGTCATCACTTTGATCATCACTAGAATTACTTTATGTTGAAACTAAGTTGGAAAAATTTTAACTGAACCAAATGCACTAAAACTCATCAGCTTCCATTAAACCCTCTCTCCAGTATGTTTCCTATAGATCATTTTGACTGTTCAGACTTTTCTAAAACTTCACAGAAAACTGAAAATTATAAAACTGAGGCAAGGCTAACAGAGAAATTTTAAAAGCAGTCACCAACAATTGAAAATGCATGAGAAAATGACAAATACTTCTTACTTGTTGAAATCTGTGAATTAAATCGGAAAATAGAATCTGAAATTCTATAAGGTAAATCTTTAAATAATGTACTGCAAATAACGTGGTAAACATGTCCAATTATGTACCTAATTATACCTACTATAGGAAAGGCTGAATTGATAATACAAATACAGAAGTACTCAAATAAATGACTACTGAATATTCTTCTCAAAAACATTCACGCAGATGATTCTTTTAAATACATTCTTCTAAAACCATTATGGAATCTACATATCCAGTTCAGGAAGTTAGCTTTTAGATGATAAGCTGATTTCAGTTCCCTGTATCTTTAACATATATATTATTTGCATTTTGTATTTATATTTTTGATGCTATGTATTTTTTCTTTTATTTTTATATTTGCATTTATATTTTGTATTTGTGTTATTTTTATTACAGTGCTTAATAAAATCTGACACATGCTAGTACAGACATATTTGAGGGCTCTTTTCAGCCTATACCTCCTACCCTACCAACATAAGGGTAGTTCTCTGAATGTGTTCAGTCATCCCTCCTCAACCTATCACCCACTGCCACAGCTATGTGACTAAAGGATGGACACCTGACCCAGAAGAAAACAATCCAGAGAATGACCAGGATGAAAGGATTCTATTTCACCAGGAAATGCAATTCACACCATAAAAGGCTGGATCACTTGGTGATGGCTCTGGATTGTTAAGGTAATAAGGAAAATGGTGTTGAAGGTACCATTTTAGGACCAGACAAGATAAACCATGTACAGAGGAAGTCAAAACGTAGAGAAAGAAAATAATGAAAGAGAACAGAGAGAGAAAGAAATGGCACCAGGAACTGCCTCGATTCTTGAGGACTTCCCGTTTCAGTTCCTCAGGAGGCCTGGGGCACACAATTCTTGTCCTGATTTCCATGACATAACAATGATACATAGGTATTTCCCCTTTTATTTTTAATTATACAATTTTAAGATCTCAATAGCCAAGGAGAGGTGATTTATCATCACAGTTAAGCACTCAGACTCTGGAGTGTGACAGACTATATTCAAAATCTGATTCCACTACTTGTATTCTTTTTAGCCTCATATTTCTCCTTTGTACAGTGAGGAAAATAAAATTACCCACTACATATGGTTATGAAAAAGATTAAATTAAAAATTCATGCTTAGTACACAGAAGTGTTAGACAATAAAAATAATTTGAGTTGTTATTGCTCTTGAAGTTTAAAGCCTGAATAATTTAGTTTCACCCTGACTAGACTGGTAGGTTAATACACATCTTGGAAAATATCAGACATTTATAAAGCTACAATTTCCCAATACTCTTAAAACTACCATTTCAGACATTCTGAAACAAAATACATAACACAGAAATGAAGAGGAGAACCACAACCTTTTCACTGACAATGTAAGCAGAGATTTTCCCAAAGGACACTTGTCATCAAAACAACAGTGTCCAAGGTCTGCTAGGTGAGTCAGTTAAAGCAAATACATTCCTGGAAAAAAACTGCAGGGTCTTCCTGTCTTGAAAATAATACTAAAATAGCTTAGTATAATGTCTCAGGGGAAAGAATGCATAACCAGAAAGGACTACTGTTACCCACACTTGTACAGATGAAAAAGGAGGGTTGACAATTGATTCAATTTGATAGAGTTACTTAAGTTATTTAAGGAAACCAAATACTGGAAGTAAATTTTACAGAATTCCAAAGTTTAAGTCCTTCACCGCTATCCTAACCTGGATGTTCTGAAAAATGCACTGATTCCCAAATTCTTAGAAATGATACCATGCTAATAAAGCATGAATTGCCCATGTATCTTCATCCCAAAACTGAGCATAGTGGGGAAAAGCACAGATTCAATCTTCAGACCATGAATATCTCAAATGTATTATTTGCTATATGACCTTAGTAAGCTACTTTCCCCTCTGTGCTTCAGTTTTCTCATGAGCAAAATGGTAATAACAGTCATATATCAAAAGTGACTTATTACACATGAAATGTAAAAAACAGTGCTTGGTATATAGTAAACATTCAACAATGTCAGCTATTTCATGTAAATCATTTATTTTTTAAAATAACAAGTTAAATCTTTGCCTTGTTATGCACACTTTATATCATTTCTTGAAGTGGCAGAAGATAACTTTGAGGTACTACAGAACACCACTGATAATCACTGATCTAAGTGTAGTAATATCAAATCTTGCTTGATACCTGCC